GAACACCCTTATAACCGTTCTCACTGTTAGAGTAAAATATTTTACCATCCCACATATGCCGATACGACTCAATAAAATCATCATTCCAATGTGTCTCCTGAACGCACACAATATCCAAGTTTTTAATTCTAAAATCAGCCAAAAGAGTTTCAAATTTCACAATACTTCTTAAGCCGCAAATGTTTAAAGTTGCAATCTTAGCCATTGTTGAAATTAGTAAAGGGCAAATACAAAAAAACAAAATTTTACAATTTCCCAACATTTTGATCAACAATATTTTTGATATTGTGTTTACGCATTGATTCAAACTTCTTCTTTTTGGATGATAAAGTAAAATGATTTTTAACACATTTTAAAACAGTTTCTTTATTAGGTGCAGTTACAAGACGTGTGCGCCTTTGTATTACATTAGTAGAGGAAGAACTAGTTTTAAAATCATCCGTTATTGAGGATTCCAACATTTGACTATCATCATCAACACTGCTTTCCACACTATCAATTTCACTAGAAACAGAAGAGGCAGCGCCTTCAATAATGTTCAGTTCCACATTCACACTCTTAGAATTTTTAACACTTGCATTATTATTATCAACAGACCTCTTCTCATCAACAGACCTCTCAGAAATCATCTCATCAATAGGTTTAATATCAACAGCCTGAATTTTACTACTCAAAATATCATCAGAAACGGGCCTATTTTCGACAACACGCTCAATTTCAACAACGGAACACTTATCAGCAACAGACCCAAAATCTACAACAGGCCCAATTTCAACAACTGGCACTTTCTGAACAATGGGATTATTTATATTATCAGACCCGCTCTCCACAACAGATTCAATATCATTGGCGAATTTATTGTCAGATTTCAGGTCACCACCAGGAAAGGGGGTAGAATTATGGTTAGGGATATTATCCCTGTCAAACATTGAAGTATCACGATCAGTAACACATTGGCATTCCCAATCATACTTTCGGCATCTCTTGCAAAATATGGCAGTACATGAACGTTTTCCATGCCCATGTTTCCTGCATCGAAAACATTTAAACTCTTGGCAATCAGACATCATATGACCAGATTGAAGGCAAACAAAACATACCTTTTCC